ATTATATAGTGTGTAGAAGTACATGTTATATAGTTACCCGTGTAGAAGTACATTATATAGTGTGTAGAAGTACATGTTATATACCTGGCTGGAGGTGGCTCTGCAGGCAGAAGTTGAGTTGATGCAACCCAGTGTTCGGGTTCTGGTGACCCAGCTGTGAACTGAAGGGGTCCACTGTGATCCCACCTGGGCAGAACTGCTCCTCAGGCAGGGGGTCTTCCTGGAACAGGTGCAGGGGGTCTTCCTGGAACAGGTGCAGGGTTTCCTGCAGGGGATGATAGGGATGGAGGCAGGACGGAGCGGGTTTTCCCGGGCTCAGGATGCTCTGGAACATGGAGGCGTGCCCTGCGAGTGGCTCGGGCTCGTGGTGCCAGTCCTCGGCGCCGGTCTGGACCACCTGTTGGAACAGGTCCAGGCTGCGGTGCAGGTCGAAGCTGCTGGCCAGGGAGGAGATCTGCTGGGCCAGGATGCTGATCTCTTCCCGCTCCCGCTCACTGTAGAGACTCGTGGACCCGGGGGACTGGAGCGGYGTGAGCGGGCCGGGGAGCTCCTGTTGGGGGACGTGCTGCGGCTGGACCGGACCGCCCCCCCGCGGGGGGTCGAGGAGGTCAAAGTCCTCCGGGTGCAGAGAGGAGGACTCCAGGACCTCGGACACGTCCGGGACGAAGAGACAGTCTGGGACGGAGCGAGCGTCGGAAGGACACGGCGGGAAATCGTAGTCCAGAGGTAACGAGGGGAGGGGATAAATGGAAGGAGGCGGGGCGTCGAAGGTGTTTTCTGTAGTCCTGGGGGCGGAGGCAACAGGTGATAGGTGGCAGGTGARCCCCGCTGCTGGATAGGAGAAATACGAGGGCGAGGCGCCAGGAGAGCACATGGGTTCCTCCTGCTGTGGAGGGGAGCTGCAGGAGGCGGGGCTGTAGGGAGGCGTGACGAGATCAAAAGGAGCAGGAGAGCCGGCACTTTGGGAGGAGGTGCACAGGACCGCACCTGGCTCCTCGCTCCCACTGTCAGACCTCCTCACASCTTTACAACCTTTAGGGTTGTCGGTCCAACTCTGGGACGCCTGCTGAGCAAAGTGTGGGTAAATTGACCCGGATGGCGGCTGGAAGGCCTTTCTGCTGATCTTCCTCTGCAGGAATCTGGCCTCAGTTTCACTGCAGGAGCAGAAAAACGTGTTAGCAGGGCGTCAAAACCAGACAGCAGTCGCTTCACGTCTGGTTTTTCCCACCAGATGACGACGTTTGTGCAGCTGATGCTCCGGAGTTCACCACTGTTTTTAGCTTGAACATACACCCAGGTCCAGGACAGATCTGTGGTTTGTAGCCTCAAAAC